CCTACACCTACCTAACTACCTACCTACCTACCTACCTGCCTGCCTGCCTGCCTGCCTGCCTGCCTGCCTGCCTGCCTGCCTGCCTGCCTGCCTGCCTGCCTGCCTGCCTACCTACGGGGCCTGAGAATCAGCTCAGACCCCGTCGCTTGTAAACGAATCAAGGCATCCCACGGCCTTTCAATCGACCCCCCAGTAGCCGCGCTCAATGCGTCGGCGCTTGGATGCCAATCGCGAGGGACCTCCACCGACGCATCATACACTCATCCATATGAAAGCTGGAGTCCCTTGAAGGATGCACACGCATACAATTGTTTGGAGTTTCAAGTTGAAGATTCCCTCTTCAAGAAACGAAAGTTGCGTGATTTATTTTCAGCTGTGGCGTTGTAGAGCCGGTGCAACTTTTTTCGTAGATTTGTACAGGAAACGCAGGCTTCGAGAGCCAGCACGATTTTCATTGATTTTCAGTCACGAAACGGTGGCTTCATTCGCCGACGCTCGTGACTCATGAATTTCATTGATCTGCAGAGCTCAAGACACGACTTTGTTTGCTCCTCAGTGCTGGCTTGCTGCCGGCATCAAGGTTTTCGTAAGCCGGCAAAATTTTCGTGCAATCCTACTTCCAATAGTGACGTCTCAGGGCTCTCAGACTTTCCAAGCTTGGCAGGCCTCGCATGCGGCTCGAGATGGAGGGTGTCGGCAGCGTCGGCGCCACCGCCTCAAATGGATACCTAAACCCTACAACGCCCTACAAGCTTTGGGTGTGGCACATGCTGGGTGACATGCTGGGTGTGCAACCGGGCAGGGGTCCACAATCTTCACGAGTGTGACGACCTTCTCCACCCGTTGCACAATTTAACGCAATTTTCCCAGAAAGACATGCCCTCCCAGATGTTGCTAATAATGCAGCTGGGCCAGGAATCTTCACAGGGATGGGGCTCTCAACGGGCGCCCACGCAAGCCAGGACCATGTCAACGTGGCAAGCACCCTGGAGAACTCAAATCGCCTTTTGGCCCAGCAGGATTGGGAGGCTGGTTGGTCGGATCATAGATGTTTCTGGAAAGTCGGATGCAAGAGTTATGCAAAACATCTGCAGCAAAAGGCAGGGGTAACCAAAGTCAGATTTGTTTGATGCCAAGCATTTAGGGGCAACACCAACTCACAATCCCGCTCGAATCCTTCAAGTCACCCATGCTCCCTGGAAGCCCTCCCCTCCCAAAAGAAAGACAAAAAAAAGGAACCGTTTGCCCGGAGACTTGAAAGGACTATAAACCTCGTGATTTCTAGTGGGGTTGATGAACTACTGAACTCGGCAGGCCTTCGGGCGAAAGATTCCTCAAAAAAGACCGATTCAACTAGCCCCCGAAGGGACTAGGACTCAGGCCTCTTAGTTACCCACCTTGACCCTGCATGTTGTTGCCGGCGGACGGACCGAGGATACTTCAAGCCGAAACTTTCAGACGGAGAAAGCTAAAGCCTTCCGTGTCCAGTTTCAGCAAGCGGTTCAACCCATGAGAATAATATCGAACAAAATCAAACTGCATTGATCACAGTGGCTTTCCTCAAGGGCCTTTCATGAGTCTTGCACCAACATTCCAAGCTATGAGCCGACGGCACCCTCACAAACTTCGCTGCATCGACGCAGGCCACAGCCGCCAGTGAGGCTTCTCGGAGACAGCTTCGGAAAATGATGAAATAAGAGGGCGGCAATCTACTATCGGTGGCGACAACCCGCTGCTAGGGCTGCCGGCCTTGGCCATCGACGCAGCCACCATCTTAATGTCTACCCGCGCAGGCGCATCCGACAACAAGCTTGAGCCCGCTTAGTCAAAAGTAGTTAACCAATCATTCCGGAATCATCGGATCTTCGTCAGCTGGCATCGTCGACCGACTCGCTGGAGGCTGTTGCAAGAACTGCGATTGTCGCGATACGCACAAGCATCGAGGCTGGAACTTTGCAACTGAACAGACGACGATGCCTTTTCGCCTCACTCCAGCGGCCGCTGCCGCAGCTCTTTGTGCAGACGCTTGCTATCCTCACTTTCAGCAGCCTCTTTGGCCTCTGACAGGTAAATATCAAAACTGATCTATTGGCGTGCGCCCTTCCGAGCCTTCTCCTCCCAGAGCTCGAAATACTCGGAGATGCGTGGTGCCAGCTTTTCCAGCTCCGCCAACTCCTTCAACTCATCTACTCCATCTTTACTCCTTCGCTCTTTACATGTTACAGTGCCTTATCAGATGCAACACATGCCAGAGTTGTAAGTTAGCACCTCATCTTTGTGATCATTTGCACTATACAGTCACTACACTACCAACCTCTTCAAGCGCTCGAAAGTGCTCTATAAGTGCTCTAGAAGTGCATGATCTGGGCATTGCCGAGGGCCGAGGGGGCCCACCCGATACTCCGGGGCCTCCTCGTTGAGGTAAAAGAGCCGGTGCCCGCCGCGCGTGAGGAAGGCCAGCTGGGCCTCCAGGGCCCCGTCCACGTCGCTCTTGGCGGTGAGGACCTGCACCTCGAGACCAGTTGGAAAGCAAAAGAAAGGTACTGTAGGGGAGCCTCGAAAACATAGCACTCTCCGCGCGAGAGAGAGAGAGAGAGAGCAAGCAGAGCTCTAGAGCTCGCCCGTCGCGGCACCCGGGGCCTGCTTGCGGCCTCCAGGAAGCTCCAGCGCTTCGCCCTGGCCCGAAGAACGTGCGCAAGGCGCTCCCCGTTCCCCGTTCCTGCCTGTGGGGGCCAGTAGGGCCGCAGCCGGCGCCGATCTCGGGCCGCCTCGAAGCCGCGCTCTTCGAAGCTCCTGTGGCAGATGGAGCTCTCTGAAAAGGATGAACCAAAAAGGATGAGAGAAGAGAGGGGAGAGGGGCACGGGTGCGGCGGGGGCGCCTGCTGCGTGGGTCCAGCGCCCTCTGCGCTGCAGCCGAGCCGTGGGGCCGGGGGCCGGGGCCGGCCGGGGGGGGCCTTGGCCCTGCCGAGCTGGCCTGTCATCAGCTCCCTAAACAAAGGCCCCCTGACCCAAGGTCTCTCGACAAATTTCCGGCAAGTGTCGTCGCGCCTTTCCTGCCGCTGCTCGGGCTCGAACCTGTCGGCGACACTCCCTCTCTGCTTTGCTCTCTTTCTCTCTCTCGCTTTCTCCCTTCGCTCCCGGCCCTGCACCTGCAGACAGCGCCCGCTTCGTTGGAAGGAAGACATGGCGCTGTTCGTGCTGACGCTGTCTACACACTGCCATGTGAGATGGCACAGTCTCTGCACACTGTAAGCGTCCATGTCCAATAGATGCTTGGGGTGGAGACTCAGTCTACTGCAGCGCTCGACTGGCAAGGCGTAGCAGGAATCGCTTCCAAGAACACGAAGCATGCGCTTCCTCCTGCAGTACACACACACACACATGCATGCACGTGTGGTTGCAGCCTCTTGCCGGGACACGATGTTCTTCATTGCTCGCTCGCTCGCTCGGGGTTTGCTCCAGTGGCAAAGTGATTTAGCCCTCAGCTGGCTCAGCTGTGTACGTGTACGGTAGGGCCCTAGACAACGACAGATGAGTCGCTTGCACGGTTCGCTCGGCAACCGAGGCCTCTTTAGAAGCAGCCAAGTGGAAGAAGAGCAGCAACGTGCTCTTTGGCAATTTGGCTTCAAAACTGTCCCCGACGGGATGGATGAGACGACTCCAACAACCCTTGCACCATGGCCACCACTCAAACATTCCGCCGAGACACCACGGCACCTGTTTAGCCGTGGATCGGAAAAGCATTTTGCTGAGCTGACTTGTAGCCGCTCCTACTCTCTGAAGAGAGGTTTGTTAAAAGCTCTCCTTCTTCCAGCATCGGTCAAGTACGCTCTCCGCAAGGTCTCACCGCCAAAGCCGTTTGATGCTCCAGCCTGAGGCCTGCGAATGCAACAGACCGCTCCCTCCCTCCTTCCCTCCCTTACAGCGGTTCGGGCACGTTGGTCCATGCCAGCTTGTTTTGGGCTTGCCTCCGGCACAGCCCGAAAGAGAGGACACAAGATTACACAAGTATGCGACTTAACGACTTCCTGGGCAAGCGGATTGAAAGTGGCAATTGGCCTTCGTACACTCGGATCGCAGAGAAATTCTACAGATCAGCGCGGGAACTCAGGCGAGGCTTGGAACCTCCAGCGTTCCAAACGCACGGACGCTTCGGTATCGCTGGTGGTGCAAGCTCTGCTCAGATGACAGAAAATCGTTGGGGTAGAACTGCCAGCGCTCAGCGCAGACAGTCTGCAGAACACCAAAATTCACACACATGTTTGGCATCTGACTTGAAGTCGCAGAATCAGGGCCGCCTGGAAGGCATCCTTGAATGACAATAAGAAAGCCTTAAATGAGGAGCAACCCTAAACCCTAAAACCTCCAAGCAACCCTTTTGAAGGGAGCTCTTCCCCCAGCCTCCCCGCCTTAAAATCAGGGCTCGACCCGACAAAGGAGAGACCCGGTTGAGCTACCACAAGAGGGATTAGGGTCCGTGGGGTTTACGGTTTAGGAAACCATCTTCAATGCTTCAGAAGCTTTCGAAACTCCCTTTTTAGGGCAACGACTCCCAGAAGGAGGGACTCCAAAAGCCGAGTCGAGCCAAAAACCACCGCCAAGAAGCCCCGACCCAGATCCTTTCAAGACCCAAAGTTCTGCAGATACGGTCTAGAGCTTGTAGGGACAGGGTTTAGGGTTTAAGGTTTGGATGATCAAACGAGATACTGTCGCTTACCTGCAAGCCTACGCAGCCCCCTTTAGGAAGGAGTCTGGGCCATGGCTACCAAATGCTTCGGGTGGGATGTCCCCGACAATCCACCGCAGACATACGGACCGATGCCAGCACCTCAAGGATGAAGATGTTGCAGTCTAGCACAGTCTGCTTCTCGTCAACCAGACAATGATCGTTCTGGGGAACTGGACTCCCTTGCAATCATGCGAGGGGAAGGGCTTGATTCAGTAGGGACAAAGACTGAATTTGCGCCGTCTCTGGTGTGAAGACTGGTGACTTCCAGCCCTTACCCTCGTATGATGACTCAAAGGGAGATCACCAACCCGTCTCGCAGGTCCTCTGGGCAAAGGCTCCCGGCACTCAGCACTCGGCCAGAACCTGCCGCTCACGAAGACACGAAGGGTATGTGACGGTGACGGCATTATTATGCTTCGCACGTTCGGCTCCTATCGTAAGCCCGGAGCTTCCGTTTACGTGGTCTCAGGCACACCACAAGTATATACAAGTACCTGCAAGTACCCTGGGTTGTCCAGAGCTCGCCCAAAGCCGCCGGGGCCTTCGGAGGAGGTGTCTGTGAGCTGGCGCCGCAGGAGACCGACGGCCTGGGGCTCTACTCTCAGTCTCCTGGCCTCCTCCAGTCGTCTTCTGGTTTCTGATCTTTTCCTAACAGCCCTTTGAAGTGTCGCTTCGGAGCCTAGCTGTGACTCTGAGCCACGGCACCGCTGGCACGTGGCCGGGCTCCCGGAGCTCTTGGAGGCCATGGGCATGCGTGCACCGAGCGCCTCAGAAAGCTCACAGCTGCTCTCTGTCTCTCTCTCCCTCTCTCTCTAGGCCGCTCTCTGGGTTTCTGCTGAAAAGCCCAGGGCACCATACTTGCAGGTGCCGTTGGAGGCGAAGTCCCAGCAAAGCTTCATGCCTAGGCGACTGGAGGAGGGGAGGACCGGGGAGGGCCCAGGTTGTCGCGACGGAGCTGCGGCGGAAGTCCGGCTTGTCCCTGAGCTGCTGCTTGGTGTGGGCGAAGGAGCACTTGTTGCCGCGGCTGCACTTGCCCTCCAGGAAGAACCTGCACATCGCCTCAGTGAAACGGGACTCCCATGCGAGTGCAGTGCGCCGGATTTGGGCTCGCCGCCGTGTTTTTCAACTCGTGCTGTCGCTGGGCCTTCGTTTCCTGGCGCCGGCACTCTAAAGACGCTTTCAGGTCCGGAGGCCTCAATGACTCCAGCCACCGCCTGTGCCCGAGGATGCAGGTCCAGGCGAGGCATGCACCTTAGTCACTTTAGCCTCTCACCCTGAAGCTTTGCTGCGGCTGCTACGGCATCTCGGAGACCTCGAAAAAGAAAAGCATGTGCGGACCAGGAGCATGCTCTCAAAGGCAGCGGATGGCATGCTTCCTAAAACGGACAGCTGGGTAAGCGTTTGAGACACCAGCGCTTGGGCCAGCCTGCGGTTACGGGAAGTCGCTTCACGGCTTCCCGCACTTCTGGGGCTACGACTTAGACTCTACTCAACAGCCTGCGGCCCGTAGCCCAGCCCTCCACGCTACTGTGGGAGTGGCGCTCAGACCGGCGAAGGCAACAGGGTGTTGTTACAGAGGAACCGCTGCTTTTTCCGTTAGCTGTGCCGAGCATTTCGCCGAGCATTTCTCGCCTCCGCTGGAGTCGCTGGAGCGAAAGAGGTTTTCCCACGGGTTGGAGGGAACGTGGCCTTCTCGCGGTCTTCAAAAGCCACGGCCTGTGTTCCTACTGCGGCCGAACCACGAAGCCCTGGCCATCATCGTGGACAGGTCGCAAGAGCTCGCCAAACTCGCCGTGAGCCAGCAACATCCAGCCTTCGTCCATACCCTCACTGGTCTTGAAGACTGTCCGACCCCAGAAGCCCGTCTCATCAAACTCCAGGATCTGCAGGCGCTGGCCTTTGATTCGCTTGCTGACGCGAGCAGCTTTTGCATCCGGCTCACGTCGAATCCACACGGAGTCGTAGACCACCTCGTAGAGCTCTCCCTTCACTTCCGGCGCGGCGGCCGCGCTCTCGGCCTCTCTCTCTGACTCTGGAGATCTCCCGACTTCGCCTTCGCCTTGCCCCGTCTCGGCGTCGCCCCTGGCGTCGCCCGGGCTCGGAGCCTGTGCAGTCTGCTTTAAAGCCCCATAAATCCAGAGCTTCAGCTCCTCCTCGGATTTCTGCTGGAGCTCCTCCGTGACACAAAAAGGCGGGCCCAATACACCGCATGCAAAGTCTCTGTGGAAACATCCTATGACCGGAGGCTTCTAGACTCTTTGAGTCTCGTGGCTCGGGCAGCTTCTGATGCCTTGCCGTGCGAAATAGACCCGGCCAGCACTACTTGGCAGTTCCCAGACCCTCAAACTTGGCAACGAACAAAACCAAAAAGTCAAACATGTGTGGGTACGTGTCTGAATTCACACGCAGCTCTACATACATACATATATATATATATATATATAGATAGAGAGAGAGAGATTGTGTGTGTGTGTGTGTAACGCAATGCAGGCCCGTGTCTTTCGAGTAAAACACGCGATTTTTGAGATGTGTTAAGCTCTATCCAAGGTAAGGACATATGATATCAAGAAACTGAAATTAGATGGTATGGATTCTCAAGAACGAAAAAAGAGTTTTTCAATCGATATTGACCATCCATCAAAAACATTGCAGGTTTTTTCCCCCACAGCACCTTCAAATTGATTTCCGATGGGTATGGACTCACAATATCATTACAATGATTCTAGATGTATACTACACCACAACCGGACGGTATTGGCACGTAACAACGAACGAATTGGGGTGGCAATGATTCTGTAGCTACAACAACTTGAATATGGATAGGTCACGAACCCCAAAAATATTGAATTGATATTGACATGCCCTACCAAAAAAGGAATTCGGATGGGCATTGACAAGAAGACAAGAACTAATTGAAGTTGGATGGGTATTCACAACATAGAAATCGGAGTTTGGATCGGTTGTGAAATGATCTAAAAACAACCACAAACTATACAATAGTGATCCACAAGAATGATAAACTATATTTTGAAAGCAACAAAACTGAATTTGAATGAGCATTAGCACCCAACAGCAGATAATGGAATTCACCTCACCAACACGAATATGAATATAGATGGGTATTGGCCCATAGCCAGCAAAACATAAATTAGATAGGTGACGACCCAAATAAATTTAGTCAATTAGGAACGTTGTTGACCCCAACATCAAGACATGAATTTGGACTGGTATTGAGTTCCGATATCACTAAGTACAAACTGGAGGATATTGAGCCATGATAACGAAACTTGATTATAGCAAGCTATCGAACCTCAACACCTGAATCTAGATGGGTATTGACCCACAAGAACAACAAATTGAAATTGGATGGGGATCGGCCCATAACATGAAACTGAATTTTGATACGTATCGAAACGCAACAAAAACACTTTAAACTTGGATGGGTATTGACCCACAAGAACAAGAAACTGAAGTTACATGGGTATTGGCCCGCAATAACGAACTGAACTCGGACGGTTATCGGCCCAGTCCAACATCAACAACAGCTATAATTTGACTGGGTATTGATTGACCCGCAGCATTCACATGCTCAAATTGTTGATTGTGGATAGATAAGACTGTATTTGGATTAGTATGGACCCAGAGAAATTGGTATGCATGAATCCAATCTGCATGAGTGTGTGTATGTGCTTGTTTACATACATTTATGCAATTAGATGCAAAAACCAGCACTGTCGTGTACATGCTTTGTATATTATAGCCAAAACCAGAATCTTGAACTCAGAGTCAATATGTATCCTGGGCGACGGTTTGGGAAGCCACTAACAAAGATGTAGATATGCAGACTGCCAGACGGAAGTTGAAGCATGTGCGAAGTCATTAGTGCCTTTTGGTTGTGTTTAGGATCCAGCTATTCTTTACAGGGTTTGGGGTTTGCCGCCCGTCATCTCCTCTTGAAGAGGCTTACGAGTCAATATTTTCTTGGGTTCGGGGATGGTATGTATGTATATATATATATACATATTAATAGGTATACGAATACATATACATGTACATGTACAGATACATGTACATAAAGATGTACATATATACGTATATACAACAAACACATCTACATTGACATGTGCAGATATGTATGTATATATTTTTATATGTACAGATATATATATATATATATATATTTATTTATTTATTTATTTTTGTTTATATATACATATATATATATATATATATATATTTAAATATATATACACATATATACACACACACCCACCTTCACCTTAAGCCGAGCCAACCCCTCTCAGTGGTCCTCCAGCTCCTCCGGGCCGCAGCGCCTGAGCATCGCGAGCTCGGGGCTGCTGCCCTCCCGGGCGCCGGCGCGCAGCAGCCGCAGGCAGCACCTCAGAATGGGGTTTAGGGGTTTAGGGCTTAGGGGTTTATGGCAGGTTTGGGGTTCATAAAGTTTAGGGCAGCACCTCCATGGGTTCTAAGGTTTAGGGCGCTCAGTCGCTAGGCCTCTAGGGCTTCGAGGGCTTCAGGGTGCGGGGCTTAGGGCTTGCAGGCTTTAGGGTTTAGGGGTCTAGAGTTGAGGTTTGTTGAGATTGAGCTCGTACAGTAGCGGGGATCTGTGCAGGGGAAACTGCCGCAAACCGCAAAGGAAACCCAGCAAAGCCGGAACTTGCTTTCGCCTGACCTGAGCTGGCCCTTCGCTAATGCCAGCACCACGGCCGGGCCCCGCGGATCTTGGAAGTCGATCTCCTGCTCCTGCTCCCAATGAAGAGAGAAAGGGGAGGTTGACGAGCGAGTTTATAGCATCTGAGAGAGCAACCGAACTCGATGGGGGGGCTCCAGTGCAGCACAGCACACCGCCCCGTCGCTTTTTGATGTTTTGGGTTCGGGGGGGGGGGGTCGTTTCCTTTTTGTCCTTTTTCCGTACACCCCCTGGCCTGGCCAAGGGCGAGGAAGCGCTCCAGGTCCTCGTAGCGGCCCTCCTGGGCCGCCACGGCCAGTTTGTTCAGTGGCCGGATGCAGAGGGGCTCCCCTTTGGGCCGCAGCAGTGGCCCTAGCTCGGGGTGGTCCAAAAGCACGAAGCCACTGCGGGCCAGGCGATGATCCACGCACTCCCGCCACAAGCCAGACTCATCCCAACCGAAGAGTTCCACCTCTTCACCCTTTCGGAGCTGACCTAAGGCTTTGGCCCCCAAAGACGGGCCACTTCGGAAGGCCACCCGCTCCGACATCACCTCGTAGAAGGCACCTGGCCCACTGAAGACGAGGCCCAAGCTCCCTTCCTCGGCTTCCTTCGTCGCCTTCGTCTTCGCTTTCGCCGCCGGCTCCTCTCGCTCGATCTCGTGAAGCACCCGGATCCCGCTTTGGGTGATGACTGGCAGATAGTACCCGTCCTCTGAGAAAGAACCGGGGGCAAACATGAGGGAAACAACAACAACGACTGCCTCCCCCCCAGCTCGCCACTTCTTCACTAGCCGCTAGCCTTATCTCCGGGTCCTCAAGCTTCAAGAAGGCGCCATCGGCTTCCAGGGTGCCACAAACCAAGGACTCCCACGGGACTGGCTTCAACCTGGTCACCTTCGCCGCATCGCTGAAGGAAGGAGATCGGCGGTAGCGCAAGCCCGAAGAGGACGAGCACAGGTCCTCAACGCAGCAAAACGCAACAAAACAAAAGACCCACGACCTACAGTACCTACACTGTGCAGAAACAGAACAGGAGCTGTGCGCTTCAGATCGCCCTCTCGCCGAGAGTCGCTGTTGGCGACCAAGTAGCACTTGGGCAAAGCAGAGGCATTTTGGAGCTGCTCTTTGGCCCAGTCGCTGAAACCCATCGGGGGCTCTTCGGCTCTTTGGCTTCCCTTGGCCTCCCCTTTTTTCACTATAAACCACTTTTTGCACTTCCTTAAAGCCCCAAGGCATGGGCGGCGGCAACACTTGATGTATGGTCTCCAAAAAACATGCCTCCGATATGTGACCCGAACAGTACCAGAAGACCCGAAACTCGGGTTTCAAAACCTTTCGCCATCCCGCAGAGACTTGCCCAATCATCGATGCCAGCCTTTTCCACTACCGCAATGCGATGAAGCGTCGTCACGGCAATTCCATCAACTAGGTCGGTCGCCTTGGCCACTGTGCCGAATGACGACAGATCGGGTGATGGTGGAGGAGGAGGAGGAGGAGGAGGAGGGGGACTTGAGGCAGGAAGGGGAGGCCGTGAACAGGAGGAGGACAGCGACTGCGATGGTGACCTGTTCGTTGATCTTGCTCTTGTTTTTGATGTTGTCAATGTCGCTGTTGCGAGAAAAGAAACCGCATAGCCAGCACAGTCATTGCGGCCCGGTGGCAGAAGTATGGCACGGATAAACGCGGCAATCCGAAGCTTTTCAAACAATAAGCCCAACATGCCGGACCTTTCGAAGCTCAGCGCCCGGCTCGAAACTGGCTGCATGTCCTGAACAGCTAATGAAACTGCCTCATAACCCCAACAGCGCAAGCCCAAACCCGAAAGCACGAAGACGCTTGGGCGCAACGAGCTAAGGCAAGGCCATGTTTCGCGGTCTGTGGATGTGTTGCGGGGGGCACTGCGGCTCAAGGATTGCATGATTCTTGATTAATATCCGCTCGCAGGACCATGAACACCAAAAGCTCCTGTCTTCTGCAACTTGATTCCAAACACGAGACGATACCCTTTCGTCTGAGTTTCAGCTCCTCAGACCTCAACATCCCGGACCTGACAGCCCACAGGCACTCAGAGGAGGCCTCGGCCTCGGCGGTCAGGGCTCCCCGCCATGGCTGGGACTCCCCCGCGGACTTCGCCTTCGCCTTGCCTTCAAGGCTTTTTCGAGGCCTCCCCCGGTGCACTGAAGCCGCGGCCGTGCTGAGCCGAGGCTCCAAGTCTGAGAGCCGAGAAGAGCGTGTAGGCCGGCGTGGGCGACTTCTCAGGTCTTGGGGGACTTGCTTGGGGGCTTTCCTGGGAAGGTGAAATCCATGGGGGCATTGGCCGCGCAACCATGCCGCTTCGGCTGAACGAGACTCGGGGCTCTTCACTTGGCTGAAGATGCACATTGCGACAGACAAGAGGCCGCACATGCAGCTGCAGGCTGGTTGTGCTGGCATCTGCGCGATCTGCAAATGGGACGGAGGACCTTTCTTGCGCACTGGAACGGTCCTCATCTTCTGCTGCTGCGCCTGATCGCCTGACAGCCAGACACTTTGGAACCACAGTCCCTCTGCCCCTGCTCTTGCCAGGAGTCAGAAACCCCGCAACCCCCAAAACAAAAAGCAGCCTCTCTCAAGGCTTCGGCCCGCCTGGCCTCAGGTGTCAGCTTTGGAGCCCACGCTCTGGAAGGACACGTTCCGGTCCCGAGGGCTCCTCGGCTTTCTTTGCTTTCTTTTGGGCTCTTTTCTGCTTTGAGTAGGTAAGGGAAGGGCTCCTAGGGCCTAGGGGGGGTGACTGCAGCTTCGGTTCTCTTTTGGGCGGCCGGGGTGTGCGTGCTTAGGGTTCCCATGTCGTCTGATCCTCTGATCAGGCTGCGCACGGATTTTACGCAGCTTGGTCTTCATCAAGGCATGCGTCAGCACAGCCAGCAGGGACAATCGAGCATTCATGCGAAGGATGTCTAGACTCTAGACCAATAGTTCATTGCTGGCTCTGCCGACTTGCCTCTTTTGCGCTCGTCCAGCCCAACTTGGTGCCGACACAGCCAGGTGAATCTAAAGGATCGTAGGAATGATCACCTGTCTATTTCTGCCCTGGCGTGGCACTGTGACAACTTTGTACTTCCTGGCGCCATCCCCTTCGGCGGGCTCTGGCTTGTTAAAGGCAAGCCCTGTCCAGCGGTATTTCATCACCAGCTCTTTCGTCAACTCGTTCTTCGCGTTCCCCTTCGAAACTTTCCCCATCTGCCTGACTTCCAGGTTCTGGAAGATGTACTCGTCTGGCATGTGAGCGGGGTCGGAAGCATCCGGATACTGGCAAACCTCAGGCCTGGCGCCCTTCACCGGGACGAACTTCTCAACACGTCCCTTGCAGGTCGCCTCAGACCTTCCTGCCAGTCCGCTACAGGGTGATAATGGCCTACCCGCATAACACCACGCCTCCGAATCAAGGGCTTCATGAGCGCCTCGGCCAGGAGTCCCGGAAAAAACCCTTGCCACCCCCAGGGCCAAACTTGACCCCCAGGTTCTCGGGGGGACCGTGGATGACCACCAGATCAGCTTCATGTCCCAAGGCAGCGCTGGCCTTCTCCAGAGACTCCGTCACCTTTCTGTAGACCAAAGCGCAGTCGACGTAGCTGGTGATCGCTGAAGCCGGGCAGTACTGGAAGGCGCCCAAAACACCCGCCATCGTCAGATTCTGGCCATCTTTATCCAAGACTTCCGTACCAAACTCGCCGTGTCCTCCGAGCTCGTACTCCTCCGCAAAGTGCTTGGCTCCGGGTGGCCGCCCCGCTGAGAAGCCCGAAGCGAGCACCTTGAACTCAGAACCTCCACCAAAAGGGATCCTCAGCCAACCAGCAGGCCCTATGAAGTGGATGTTGCTCTTGTCCATGAGGTCAGGCAACCTCTGCCGTCTATCGGTTTTGAACCTACTCTCCAACACGGTACTGTCGTCCAGGCACGCATCGTGATTGCCCGGAACGAAAATTTTCGGTATATCCGGCTGGACCTCTTTGAACCAGTCCACGAACTGCTCGAGCTCTTCGAAGTTCGAAATCTGGCAATCCACTGTATCCGGGATGGTCGTTGCATCACCTGCATAGACGATGACGTCTGCCCGTGTGGTCTGGACTGCCTTGGCGGCCGCTGAGGATTTGAACAGCTCCATGTGGCTGCGCATCCCCTCTGCCTGACCATCGGCATCTGTGCATCTGCCATGAACATCACTGAAGGTCAACACCGTTAGCTTGCGAGGCATCGGGACGCTTGCCTCGCCGCTTTCCGTTGCTGACCTGAGAGCTCAAGCGCTGCTTTCCAAAAGACACTTAGGCCTCGGAAGATCTTGCAAGGCGAGCTCGGGTGGAAGCCGCCCTCTCCACAGAGACGCCCCGAGCATCCTTGGAATCACCCCCTGATCCCCAGACATAAATGCATGGATCGGCATCCCCCCAAGTCCAAACCCGGCCCCAGCCTGCACTCTGCCAAAAGAATCATCCACTAGATCGGACGAAGCGCAATCTGTCTTGGCGCATGCTTCCAACTAGCCACACCGACAGAATGCTGCAGAGCCGGCGCATTGCGTGAAACGGACAGGAATCGTGAAACCACGTGGTGGCGGTTGCTTGTGAGCCTCATGGCTACAGATGCAGAGGCGACAATGCTCGAAGGATCAATCAGAAGAACCGTGGCTTAGGGTTTAGGGTTTAGGGTTTAGGGTTTAGGGTTTAGGGTTTAGGGTTTAGGGTTTGCAGGGTTTAGGGTTTAGGGTTTAGGATCATCGTCAAGACAAGCTTGGACATGGCGCAGCGGGGGCCGCAAAGCAGATCCCACCGGACCGAGGACCCGACAAGGGAGTGGAGCGCGACCACTCTCGGCTCAGGTTCGGCTGACTCTTTGGCGACCTCTCAATCTCGCAATAGACGAAATAGTCCTTTTTAGATGTGGGGGTTTCTGAAAATAGGGGACCCTAATATAGTACCCTAAATAGTAGGATCCTTATTATAAGGACCCCAAAATAAGGTACCCCCTATTTTCTGAAACTCCCATGTTGCAAAACCGGAAGCCTGGAGGGAGCTTCGGGGAAAGGCAGGGAGCTTCCCAAGGATGCTGGCTCTCTCTCACTGCCAGCTCCACAGCATCCTGCCTTCCGTAAGCGAAGATCCCCCAAAACTCCCAATTCCAACCCCGTAACCTTCAAGAAAAGACAGCAAAAAGAACAATGGCCCTATCACTTCCTATGTCCCGGGCTGGAAGGAGGACGCGTCCCAGTCGAATTCCTCGGGTTTGTCCTGAGAGGATCGCGTCGGTTGCGCGCGGAGGGTGTGTGGACAAAAGGGTTTGGGTTTAGGGCTTAGGGTTTAGGTGCCGGTTTCGCTTCGAGGCCACGACAACGGCAACAAATCGTACATCTTAGCAAGGGGGGCACCACTTCGAGGCCGAGCAACCCGGTCGCGCACGAGCACTGCTTCGAGGCCAAGCCGGCAACAAATCGATACCAACGATGCTTGCTTTCCGGACCGGCTGCCACCTAAAAAGATTAAATGATGCTGATGATGCTCGCTGTCCGCTGTGAAAAAGCGAAGGGGACATGACGCGAATGATGTTGGCTTTCGGGGCCGCCTTCTGTCCGAAAACAAGCGGCGATGATGATGATGATGATGATGATGATGATGATGGTGATGGTGATGGTGATGATGATGATGCTTTCGGCATGCAACCTCATGAACATGAGGCAATGATGTTGTTGAATGGTGCACGCCAAGCCATGCTGAAACATTGCAAGCACCCCATGAAACGACGCGGTTAGATGCAGCTTATCTGAAGAAACCCGGCTGAGAGCTGCAAGCATGTTGAAAGCTGAAATATACGTCAAAGAAGAAGCACCCAAAGGCTTCCAACGAAACTAACCCCACAATTCAGTGCTTTCCGGCTCCATAGTAGAGACTGAAATGCAAACACAAAAACTACTCGAAAACTAAAACGCCGGGCGAACATTTTTTCGACTACACCCAGAGAAATATGAAATAAGCGTACTTGCACTGAGGCGCCACTTCGACCCCAACAGTGCATCCCGGATGCTCGGAGCATGGACTCGATGGATTTCAACCGACTGTACCTGGTAGGCAGCGGCCGCTGTCTTATCGCCGTGGTGGGCGGCGGCCAGAGCAGGAGTTGGGGCAGGAGTAGGGGCACCCGTAGGCGTAGGAGTAGTAGTAGTAGTCGTCGTAGCAGTAGTGGTAGTCGTAGTCGTAGTCGTAGTGGTAGTGGTAGTGGTAGTAGGAGGAGGAGGA